AGGCTGCGGCGGTCTGGTCCTGGCGGCACAGAACCGAGGCGCCAGGTAAAGCAGCTCCGCATCGCCCTGTGCTCCCCCGGCAGTTGAATTAGCTGGTTTAACGCTAGAGGCCTCCCTCCTGCGCTGTTGGTCCTCGTGGTTGGCATCAGAACAGTGTCTTCTGTTTTGTTGCTGTCATCTGCGAAGAAAACCTCAGCATTGCTTTGTATGTAGTTCTGCCATACAGTGCTTGGCTCTCTCTGGATACCAAATACAAGACAATTATTTTTTTTTTTTTTCCTCATCCTTGGAAAACACAAGCCTGGTTTTCCCACCAGCAGAGAACTTTTATTTTGACCCCAAACTGAGAAGCCTCTTCTGGAAATGTTAGAGCCTTACAGAATAGACACCTGGTAAAAATTTAAGGTATGTGCAGGCTGAAAGAGAGAAAAAAAAAATAGAAGAAAATTATATAACTCCTTTTCCCTTCCCAGCTCCTTGGCATACATACCCTACTACTCTCTTCCCCCTACTCCCCCTTTTTTAAAACAAGCAGCCAGTGAAATGATAACATGCTTCTTTTTGCCTGCTCCTACTTTTGCTGCCTCAGCTGTGCTTCATATGAAGTAGCTGCTCGCTGAAACAAAACCACAGGATATTCAGAGGGCTGTATATAGGGCAACCAGGATTTATAGCTAAGCACAAGCTGCCTGTAGAAGTCATCCTGGTTGAAGGATAAGTAGTTTTTTCTATTTGATCAGGGATCACAGGTTACTTGTGCAGCTTTTTGTGAATAAGCAGTTCAGGGAACTTTCAAGATGATAAAATTATTTTAGGAGTGGAACTATCAGACAAGGGAAATAAATAGAGCAGAAAGTGAGATGGTAACTAATAACACCTCATCTGTTATTTCTTCACAGATTTACTTTGCCCACACCGCCTTGAAATGGATAGAACGAGCTAATCTGGATGGCTCAAATCGTGAAAAAGTTATTCATGAAGCTATAGATACACCCGAGGGCCTTGCTGTGGACTGGATTAACCGTAAATTGTATTGGACAGACAGAGGGTACATGCTCCACAGTGCATTTATGTTGAAGCATGCCATAAAATATTTGGAATAAATGACTGGTGATACAGAAATAGCTGAGATATCACTCTAAATTCAGTAATGCTTCACATTCTGATTGGGTAGCTGTAATCTCAAGTATATACAATTGGAAGGTTCTTTAAATCTGAAATGCTGGAAGATCACTTTGAGTCTGCTGTTGTATTTTTATCCTTGTTTTTCCAAGAAGCAAGGGTTTGGACACAGTTGCAAGGAATCTAAAGCATGTACTGCATGTATACATATCTGTATGTGTACATGTACATATATATGTATACACTCATATTTATATACACACACTGCATGTGTGTATATATTTTTATATCTTTTTAATATGTATAAAAATAATGAGTATTACTGCACTGAGTACATCTTGGACAGGAGTCAGCATTGTTGACAGCTAGAATCATGCCCCTTTAAGCCAGTGGAGATCCTTTGTCAATTATCTCTGATAAAAGAGGAACGGCCACTGGCAAACAATACAACTTCACATTGCAGCTGATACCTAATCTTACATGCAGAGAGAAACAAAATCAACCTTTAGTGAAAAGACAGTGTCAGATCAGAACACATAATGAAGACTCCTTGAAGAGCGGTCATGATGTTTCAGTATGACCCATATTTTATTAGTCAATAAAAAATGGTTTTGAATGTACAGATCACCCTCCTTCTTCCTTTTAAATGTGCTGTCTACTTAAGTCTACTTCCTTGCTATTAGGTACAATCTTGTCTACACAATTGTGCTCCTGTATAAATATGCCAGTGTTTCGTGTGAAATGGGAAATTTTGGTGCTCGTCTCCTTAAGACGAGAGTCAAGGATGAAGCTGTGAATTTGTATCTGCCTCTCCCTTCTCATTCACTGCGTTTACCTGTTTGTATTCCACGTTTGCAGAAATCTATTTCTCCTTCCATCTTTGTGTGACCTTTCTTTGCATGTCCAGATAGGCATGGAAGGCTGTAGGTTTGCTTTCAGGTAAAGGCTGATGCTTGTTTGGCCAGGTTTGTAGCAATAAGGACAGTTTTCTGGAAAAAAATCAGATTGGGAGACTGGCAACGTAGATTATATACTCAACTCTGCCATAGATTTTAGGACTGATCACAAGGACCTTAGCTTCATTCTTTCCTATAAAATAGATATAATATATAAATAGGTTGGCCGTTTCTGCATGAAAAATGCTATATAGAAGTCCTATTTTTAAAAAATTCTTTATACGTTTGATAATGCCATTCAGTTAGGAGCTTGTTTTCCTCCTGACTCACTTTAAAGCTAACATTCATCTATTAGTGATCATACTTTCAACTTGTTATTTGCCCAAAAAAGGAGAACTTCATGTCTGCTGCAGAGCAGCAGGTATTTGATCATCATGTCCTGGACCAGATAACGAGGCTATAACATGAATTACTTCTTGATAAAACAACTAGACATCCCACATCATGTCATTGTAAAGTTATTTATTACAGTTTTGTGATAAGCTAAAGCGATGCAAAAACTTTGTACATTCTGCCTGAGAAGGTAATTAAAAAGATAGCAGGGAGGACCTAACATGTGTGTGTGTTGCAGGAAGGCATGCATCGAAAGGAGCAATCTGAATGGAATGCAAAGAAAAATGATCATCTGGGAGGATATCTCCCAGCCCCGAGGGATTGCCATTCACCCATTTGCTAAGTAAGGAGTGATAAACCCAGTTAATTGTGTAATACTTGGAGAGACTTTTTAAAAATGAGCATGTCAGCCTTGCCTTTTTGGCAGTCAAAAAGTGCATTAGTCTTGTTAGGGTAGTCATTGCCTTGCAGAGCTGTGTGAACTGCAATGTTTTATTGCTGGGTTTCTTTCGTGAGTTGGGATGTCTTTGGTTCTCATACAGATTTAAAAAAAATACCAGAAGAATTGAAGATATTTTATGCAGTTTAAGCTAAAGAAAAGCACAAGTGACTGAAGTCACCCTGAGAGCTGAAAGCACCACACTACAAACTTTGATGGTTCCATGTCTATTAGTGTGAAAAAAGTAATCACTTTTAACCAATGGTGCTTACAAAAGATTTTTTTGGCCATGTTTCAGTTTCTGAGGAAACTAGACCAAATCTACTGTTGTGGAGATGCGTTGATTTAAACGCACTTTGTATCTTCTTATCTAGTGCTGAGATGATCAAAGAAGTTTTGAATGTTTAAACTATTGATGAAATTCTGGCCATTTTAATCAATGGCAAAGCCCTGTGGATTTCAGTCAATATGCCTGTTGTAGGATGGTTTTAAATCTGTTGGTTTGGGTTTTGGGTTTTTTTGATGCTCATATCATGCTATAACTAATTACTGATGAACAAAGCCAAGTTGGGGAGTGTGTTTTGTTAGCTTCCCTCTGTATTGAAAGCGTCTTTCAGTAGAGGTTGAACGTGAGAGACACTTTGCAGGAAAATGTTTAAGAACATGTAGGTTCAGGGGCACTGTTTATTAGAATTGTTGGTAGAGGCAAGGGCTACAAGGGAGGAGGAGACATCACTACAACCTTCCTTATTAGAAAGTGAATGGTGAAAAGAGGAACAGACATTATAGCAACATCTGTCATTTTAAAGTCATTAAAGAGAGACACAACTAAGACGATTGAGAATACTGATGCCTGCACTGGCTACAGCAAAACTGCTCACGTAAATAAAGCTAAGTGAATCCGTGAGTTATCTCAGTAAACCTGACAAAGGTTCCCAGCTGATGCTTGGGAAGACTGGAGTCCAAACTTCAGCAGTAATTTGTGGGTTTGCCTATCTCCATTTTAAGTGGCCACCTTGCATTGTCTGTTCTTTGAAAAACAGTAAGCACTCACTGAGTAACACTCAGGACTCTGGAGAGAGACCCTGAGAATCAGGATTTTATTAAAAGAAGAAAAGAGTCTGGGCTTGGTGCTGGTTTATTTTTTAAAGCCAAAATAACCTGAGGATTCTTGCTTGCTTTCCATGGGTGCTGGGTAATTCTGGTTCCCTTTGTGCATCGTTACACCCTTGTTTAGACAAGGAGCTGGTTAATGCATTGTCTTCTGTTGCCTGGGTTTGCTAAACTGCTATCATCAGTCACGTGGAAAACTCAAAAAGCAGATATGAAGAGCTGGCAGTTAGCATCGGTGGGAGGAGTGGTTTTTCAAAGGTTTTGTGCCAACGAACAGGGTGGGGATTCTGCATAAGTGCCAGTGTAATCACCCGGAGCCTTATGGCAAGTGTGAAAAGATCAGCAGCCAATATATTTGCTTGAAGTGCGCACTTTTTCTCATGTGCCTCAGGCCTGTGTTGCTCTGATCTGATCTTTCTGCTTTGAAAGAACTTCATGGAGAGGAGGACAAACATTTACTTACTGACTTCCTGTATGCATTTTTTTTTCTAAAGGAGATTATTCTGGACTGACATGGGGGTCAATCCCCGGATAGACAGCTCTTCATTAGAAGGCATTGATCGCCGGGTTATAGCCAGCACCGGTCTGGTGTGGCCCAGTGGAATAGCTCTCGACTACTTAGTAGACAAGGTGTACTGGTGTGATGCTAAGCAGTCAGTGGTTGAGAGCGCAAACCTGGATGGTTCTGGTCGTCGAATTCTTGCACAGAATGATGTAGGTGAGGCTTTGGGGTTGATAATTACCTACTGCTGCTTGACAATGTTCGTGTGTATCTGCATATGTGCATGTGAATTACCGGCCAGCGCTGTGCTGTATATCCCGTGCAAAGCTCTATTGAGGTTAATGGCATCACTTAGTTCTTCATTTCTGTTACCCAGGTGACTTTTTATTTATTCATTTTAGCAAAAGAACACCTTTCTAACACTCTCTGCTTTTACTATTCAGTCACTTTGCATTGCACAGAGAACTCTTCTGCCTCCACAGAAAAATGAAAAGAAGGAAAAAGTTAAAAATGTGGTTTGCTTGTTCTGTGCATGGCTGCTTAGTGTAATTCAGGTTTTGCTGTGTTTATTACACCCAGTGAAGTATATTGACGTAAACTGGAAGGGAATTAATCTTGGCCGTTAAGGTCCTTGAGCAAAGAACCTGCATCTGCACAGTGTTGAACACTGGGATGATTCTAAATACACAATAGCCGCTGAATGGAAAAATGGTTTATGCAATATACTGGTAGTTGTTATGGCTGAGAATTCTATTGTTTGACACGTAACTGTGTTGCTCTGGAGCAAGAGAACAGAAGTATTAGCAATGAGGAACTGATGTTTTACCACATGTAAAGTAAACCATGTGTTTAAGAATCTCATATATGGCAAATTAGTTTCTGGAGAGGACAATTCCCTTTGTGCATGATACCTCTCTGGGGACTGTTTTGTAGGTGTGCACACAAAACACAGATAGAATGAGGACTCTTGGCTCAGTACCATGACTGCCATGGGTAAAGACTTTACAGTTGCTCTGTTGAGCAGCTGGTGTTCTGGTCTGTGCTTGTGTTCGTATCCTAAACCAGATTCCCTCCCACATGTATGAAGGTGAGCAGAGTGAGGTCTTGGAGGGAGCAGTGTTCTCCAGTTCATAAGACGTCAAAAGCCCCGAGTAGAGTGACTCCCCAGCGTTCCTCTCTTCTTACCTGCTGCTCATATTCTGCTGTACACTCCACCTTGCAACTGATGTGCAAAGGAGGACCTTTGAAAGCCTGATGAAAGTTTCACTTTGTTTCTCCACAAGGAATGAGTCAGTATCTTACAGGGAGAAAATGGAGAAAGAGGGCTAGGAGCGCTGGGGAAACACGGGACATGGGAAAGGAGGTAGGTTTGGAGCAGTGATATGGCTGTTCGGAGGTGGAAGAAAAGGACATTAACACCGGTATGGAAAGAAGTGAAAGAGATGAAGTGCAGACCAGTAGGGTTATGAATTTAGAGAGACAGCGAGACTTGGTATCCTGATGTTTTGCTAATTGTTAGTGAGACCAGAATTCAGCTTCTGTTCTTGGACAGCTGTACGCTGGAGGATGGAAAGGTGGCATCTCTTCATACACATTCTGCTGTAACCTGAATTTTTATTACAGCAGCACCCTCTAGTGCCCTCGTACTGAGAATTCAGTCAGTATAGCTGCATGCAAAATAGGTAAAACTATTTCGGCTCTTCTGCTAACCCCGTTTTCATCTGGAAGCACCCGCCCAAGGCAGTGAACAACACAGCCATTCCTTTTCTTTATGCAGTGGGTTGGGTATGCACTGTTGTGGCAACGATTCATGTGGTTATTCATTTTTCTGTCCCTGCTATCTCCATTGATGACACTGCACTTCTATTTTTAATCCTTATTCTATTTTTAATCCTTAGTATATTTATAAGTCAAGAGGTTAAGGAATTGCTGGTCCAAGCAGGGTGTTTGTTGATAGTGCAAGATATAGATCCTAAAATCATGACTATGTGTTTGGATGGGAACAGTATCTAGATCTTGAGGTAGTTGCTCAAATTTCATGGAAATCAAAACTAAGAACCACACCCAATGATTAAGCATGGTTCAGTGAAGGCAGTGAAGTGGTAACAGAATAGCTATATGCTCTTCAACTTAATACTTAAGAACACTTAAACAGTGTCTTAGAATTTTTGTTATGTAGGAGTGTGTTTTGGTTTTTTCAGTTTATTTGTGAAGTGTATTTAAGAGGTACCAAACTCCTTCTCCAAGGTTCAAATGTATCTGTTGTTTTGTTTGCTTGTTTGTTTGACTTTGACTGTTTTTGTTTTTTAAACTAATACCTTTTGGGATCCAATTACTGAAATTAAACATCACCTAGTTGAGGTCTACATCAAAAACCAAAAACACAGATCATAAAACCACGTGCCTACAAAACATACCTTTCAGAGGGGCTCAGACTGCAGTGATACAAAATGAGGTGCATATTCAGACTGTGAGTAAGGACCAGAACAAAGCAAACCTGCTTCAGCCAGAAAGTACCAGCTCTAAAACCAGGTGGACATCCATGGAAGAACAGTATGTGTCCTCACTTTCCATTGCAAAAAGCTTGCTCAAAGACTACCTTGAAAGCAGGAGATTTCTAAATGTATGGAAAGAATGCATAGTTCCATATGAGCTAATGACCTGGATGATCTATTGCATTCTGTGGTTTGTGTTAGCTGCTACTGTTGGTTACCTGGCTAACAGACAGTGACTAACTAGTCACACCTACTGCTGCCTGTTGGCTGAAGTGAGGAAAATTAATTCCCCTCTTGAATTTTGCATGGTGATGAACTGGCTATTGAATGTCTGTGCATGTTTATATGTGCATGTGGACACCTGTGTGTATTTTTGGCACTTGCAGAGACCACACACTGGCTTTGGGGTCCTACCATGAGTCAGTGGCTATAATGTCTGTAGCTCCCAGGCTGCCCCGTGCTGGCACACTTTTGCAGGACAACACATGCCATGAGCTTGTCTCCTCCCTGTTATGTGAAGACTGAAAAAGGAGCTGTGTACCTCAGCAGCTCTGTGCTGGGCCACTTACTGGTGGAGGAGGGAGACACTCCACTTCTGAAAGGCTGGTCCCAATGCTGCTTCAAGAAACGATGATATCTGAGTTAGAAGCATCTTGTGAACTTGATCTGGTTGGAAGTCACCAGCAGCATAGAGACTGTACTGAGCCAGGCAAGTGCCATAGCCTCCTCTGCTGAGAACATAAGTAACATGTGCCTATGGTCCATCGTGCATGGACACTTATCCCTCCCCATGAGACATCAAAGTGGAGAAGTGCTATGGCTATGCCACTGTTTTAGAAGTAGACTTGTATGCAGATAATGCTTTTGTTTACCTGATTTCTTGTGTATATTCTACAGATATGGAAATGAGAAATGTAATTTCTTTGTAGGCCACCCATTTGATGTAGTGGTGTTTGAGGATCACCTTTGGTTTTCTGACTGGGCTAGGCCATCACTAATGAGGGTGGACAAGAAGACCGGACAAAATAGGGTACGTCTTCGAGGCAGCATGCTGAGACCCTCATCAATGGTTGTAATTCATCCTTTGGCGAAACCAGGTATACTGCAAAAATTAAGCAGTCATTCCCTTCCAGCCTCCTCTTGTTCACTGATATCAGTAGAATAGATGTCCTTGGGGAGAGGATTACCTTCTCAGAAATAGGCTCTCTTTAGAAGGCTTTGCATAGTCAGACTGGCATTTATTGAAAGCATCATCTGGGCATGTGTCCCTGGAACACTAACAGATTTTGTATATTTATGATCATGCCCAAGAATGGATGCTCATCAATTGCCACAAGGCTGCCATAGACTTCTAATTCCTATTTATCTTAGTTTATTAGCACCCCTCACACACACAAATAATAACAAATGACATGGAGAAAGATTTTGTAAGATTTATTAGTTTTGAATCAAATAATTTGATTTTCTGTTGGGAACGATCTCCCTGTAAGCAGAAAAAAAGTAATTCAATAGACCAGGATTGAGAGAAGGTAATCACAGGTTCCCTATGCCCTTGTAATGTTCTTTCAGGGAATGTTAGGACTCTAAATATTAAAAGAGAAATAGTAAAGGAAATAATAATAAAGAAGATACATTTATTAGATAGAGAGTGTGCGAATCTGCTTTCCTGCCAGAGACTAGGTGATAATATCTATGCTTTATTATATGCATCTGTTTTTAATGAAAGAAAAAAAAAAAGACATTCTAGTTATTGTCAGTCCTTATTCTTCTTCCAACTGCTTCAACTTGAGCTAAGAGGAGATGTTGACGGAAGAAGCAGCTTGTTAAGTTGCCTGTTTTTCTGCATTAGGGGCAAATCCTTGCCTTTATGAGAATGGAGGCTGTGATCAGATCTGTGAAAACAATTTTGGAGTTGCCCATTGCATGTGCCATCCAGGATTTGGGAAAACTCAGGATGGAAAAACCTGTCGTGCTCTGAATGCTTCCAACACAACAGCAGGTACGATCCTCCAGTTCCAAAAAAGACCCTCCCCAAACCCTTGAGGATCCTGACAGATAGCACTGGAAAATGTTCACCTTGCTCTACACAATGTTTGATAGTTTCTTGAAGGATGAAAACACTCAGGTGTTGTCCTGGGACAATAACATGTGTCTGACCATTGTAATTTTTGCCTTGGCATGTTAGCAGTAAGAGAGATGCGTGCAGTGCTGACAAGTATTGTGAGCAATGAGTTGCACTCCTTGTCTTTTGTGTTTGAGAAAACGCACCAGTGAGTGGTTTTAAGAATAATTTGAGGCTAGAAACAGGCTAGTCTGGGAGGATACTGATGTTTATTTTAAAAGGAAGCCACCATGATTATTGGAAAGTAGGCAAGTGATAGAAAATCAGAAAGTTATTTAAATAGTCTGTGTCACTTTTTTCTTGTCTTTTTCAGGAAGTGGCTCTGTGCACAAGGAGGTGGTGCCGATGCCAACACCGGAGACCTTGCTCTGGAGCACACAAAGCAGTAGGATATTCAAGGATACAGACAGTGGGGAAAAGCAGAAAATCAGCATTTTGTTGATGGCTGAAATCATGGTATCAGGTAGAGTCTGATGGTTGTTTTCCTTCTATTTGCTCTGAGGCTCTGAACAGGTTTATAGAACAGAATAAATCATAGGCCTTAAAGGAAGAAAGGCTCAATGACCAGACTGGTGGCATTCATGCTCTTAACCCTCTTACGATAAGTTGGGCCTATGCAATTATGCCAGGTGCAACTGCTTTTTTTCTTTTTTGTCTCCATGTTCCGTCGCTATGTCAACAAAACTTGACAATATCCAGGTCTAGAGAGCAAACGTTCTAACTTGGAACACTTGTGAAAGTCTCTCCCTTAGATTTTTGTATTAAGTTCCTTTGAACAAAACCAGTAAAACCATTGAATTCTTCACATGTTCAATGACACTAGATCATTAAATTGTACAATAGGTTTTGCATACAATATTCAGAAATCCTGATACTAAATGACACTTCAATTCCATCTAGACAAAGACAGCAGCCATAATGATTATATTGCCTTGTCATCATTAACCCTGGAGAGCTATGTTTCAAGCTTTGACTGTATGTTCTGGTTTTCTTATTAGATTTTTAGTTAGTTGTTTGTTTGTTTGTATGTACAGTACCTCCTTTGAGCTGTGCAAATGCATTTAGTGGTTTATCTGGGTTTTTTTTTTTATGCTCAAGATCAAGATGACTGCACTGCACTAGAATGTGATGTCAACGCACAGTGTGTTTTGCTGGAAGATGGTGCTATGTGCCAGTGTTTGAAAGGATTTACCAGGAAGGGGAAATCATGCTACGGTAATAAAAGACATTAATACAACTATCTGTAAAACTGCAGACTGGAGAGAGAAAGAAAATCTATCTTTTCTCACATTGGCAGCTCTGCTGCCTAAGCCCTCATAGAAAGGTCAATGGTATTGCTTGTTTTGAAAGGGATGATGAGCAGAGAGCATGTGAGATGAAATGGCTAGTTATCACATGCCTTATTTTCCCCTGAGTCGTGAGTGTTAATCCTATTAATATTAACAAGCAATAATGGGGATAATAGGAATAAAAACATAATGTATTTATTGGCAAAAATTTCCTAATTATAAAAGCTCAGTCCGTAGACATGATAGTTGACGTATAATTTAGAAGTAGGTATTAGGGAATCTATTACAAATTAGTATTCCTGATGTAACGTTTGTATAAAAGTGCTGCTCTTGTTTCTTTCTAGCACTAGAAAGAGACTCTAATAATCAGACAACACATTGCTGAGAGTGGTCTATAAGTTTTTGGACTTTCATACAACATAAATGGAAGCATTTTGTTCTCTCATAAAGGCCAAGACAGGAAGGCATTAGAAACAGAACAATTTACCATTTGGTGGCTAAGCACGAAGACTCACAGGAGTCTATGTTGCTATGGAAAGGAAAAAAAAAATTGGAAGGTGAAATGGCTGTAAATTTTTGTTTCATTGTGGTACCTTTTTTTTTAAGCTTATGTGTTCTTTCTCAAAACAAAGTTTGTCTCTGAGTAGGGCTTAAGAACATAAGGCTAGTTTTGCATAGGATCATTCCCTCCAAATGGGACTTTTTTTGAAGCAAGTGGTATTTTTGGAACCTCTTAGGTCTCCAGTTGAAAGTTGCTGGTTGACTGTCTTAGGTTCTTTAGAACATCCCCATCAAATGCCATACCAAGAAAATACCACAAAGCCCTTCTCTTCCTATTTGCTTCAGATGCACAAGTGACAAGTGACAACATAGTCTGAAAGATTCATGATGTAGACATTTCTTTTTATCGATTTACCTGATGTTTCATCACCCATGTGTCCTGTCTCCTTGTTTTGCCTCACAGATGTTGATGAGTGTGCTGTAAATATGGACTATTGTAATCGAAACGTGTCGGGCTGTATCAATACGGAAGGGGGCTACGTCTGTAAATGTCTGGAGGGCTATACTGGAGATGGAGTCCATTGCTACGGTATGGGCACGTGCGAGGGCTGTGCTGTGCCTGGAAGGCTGGGGCAGGATGAATGAGCAATAGACATGTCTTATGATTTGGGCTAGCCTTGCATCAAGCTGTGAAGCTGTCAAATGATCTTTGGGTTCTTTTTGAAAAAATCTGATAGGGGCATGGATCCTAACAGGGGCTCCCCCAGACAGTTGACATTTATAATTTCTTCCTTTTTGATTCTTTCCTTCCTGTTTGAAGTGTGGCAACCTCAGCAACTGATCAATATGCAAAGCCTGTAGTTGTCAGTGGATACCTCCTCTCAGTGTTTGCACTCTTTTTAGTGGCTACAGCAGAAAAGAGAGGAAGAGTGAAGGGGAGGAGGGAAGAGGAGGTGAAGCAGTAGAGCTTTATTGGAAATCGTTGCCATGAATATAAATGAAAGCAGGTATTGAGTGTGTCATAATACTCATCAAATAATTCCAGGTCTGTTTAATAGGCATGAGGTTCAAGGTGTTGACACTGACAACTTGAGTACATTTAGAGTCTTGTTAATAATCAGACCCACTGATTTTCCCATCCAGCTCTAATGCCAGGTCTGTAGTTCATTCCCTACATTTCTTAATTTTTTAATCCATTTTAACAGTAAATATGAAGGAACAGGAAGCATTTTCCCCCAGTATTTGACTAGCACACAGTTTGTTCAGAGCTTTATGAGAGTCTTGGCTTCTCTTTTGTCCTTTTCTTTTTCCTTCCTCCTTTATAGCCTAATTCAAAGCCCATTAAATGTCACCCAATTCTTACATAGTCTTTATTGGACTTTGGTTCTTCGACACAGCTAAGGGTGACTGAAAAATTAAGAATAATATCATTATTATGGCCAGGTGTGGAAAGTATCAGAGGCAGGAGGTTCAAGAAGGCATTCTTCCTACAGTGGTCAGAGATCCAGAGCTCATGTCTTTGAGGATGTTTGGAAGTGCAGACTGAAGTGACAAGCACCTTTTGCTGTCCCAGCACCACCTACAAGGCATGTCCCCAGCCAGCACTGAGCTCTCTCCGTCTGTGGTATAGAATGATCGTGGTATCTACCACTATTATTGAAAAACAGTCCATCTTCTTCCTGAAGTCTTTAAGACCAGAAGATGGTAAGATATGTTTTCACAGCATTTTATAAATGATGCAATGTTGTTACGATGTAAACAGAATTGAAACTAATTTAGTGTTTGATGGCTTGAAATGTACTATAAAAACCAGAAGCTGGTAAGTGATTTTGTAATTCAGTTTTAGATGCCTGCATGTATTCACAGTGTCCAGAAATGTGTCAGTATATTGAGAGATGGTGCAAGATGTGTTCATGTTGTGTTGTTGAAATCACATTTCTTGGAATATGCTGCAACAGTTTTGTTCCTGTATTTTTGCTTTTCAGTGTGCTCTGAATTTTCTGTACTGTTTTGGGCCAGATGCTGTTAATCCTACTGTACAAAAAGTCCCAGTGGTTTAAGGAATAATTTCACACAAATTGGGATGGTAGATTTATGATTTTGTTTCCCCAAAGTAGAACTGGCACATTTGTTCCGCTGACAGCTCATAAAATGAGTCAGAGGGTCCCAAACTCTGCTATGTGAACCCTTTCAAAGTTCCCACCTTTGAGGGGGTGCTTAGGCACTTAGCACCACGCACGTGCCAGCCCGAGGGGTGAGTGCCAGGCTGGCAGGAGCTGCCGCCGTGGGCTAGAGGAGGTGTGGAGGCAGGGTGAGGGTGCGTGGCGGGGTGTGGATGAGACCTATAGATGAGCCTAATCCAGGCTCTGAGCCTGGAAACTCTTGTAATCAGGGAGCCTCTTCATAGTAATTCAGAGGCTCACTTCATTTAAGTGTTTACACAAACCACATAAACCTGTAGGTTTCTAGACTCTTTCCTTCTGTCTAAACTTTTTGTCTAGGCTGGACCAGGCGGGGGGTACCGGGGTGGGCAATGCCCCACTCGCAAACCCTTCTGCGGTCTTAATGCAAGAATTGCAGCTGACAGTGCTCCCGTGCTCACCCAGGGCGCAAGCTATGACTAGCAATGCCAGGCGGATATATCTAGCACAAAAAAGCCTTCTCTCCAACTCCGTTACGTTTCCTGGGGAAGCCTTTCCGTCCTTCTCCTTCTGCAGCAGCGTGGAGTGCTCTGAGAGGCTGGGGAGGCTGTGATTACTTGGCATAGAAAGTGTGCTGGTCACTTTTCCGTTACGTTTTCCGTGAAGGTCTTTGGTGTTTTTCCCCACTGCCCGGAGACTGCAATGCTGCAACTGCTGCCCTTTTAACCGATGCTCTGAGGCATTTCGTTCTTCTAACTGCAGACTGTTTGGGTGACAGATATTGATGAGTGCAAGACGGGGTCCCACACCTGTGGAGAGAACATAACCTGCACAAATACAGAAGGAAACTTCACTTGCTCATGTGCTGATGATGCTTCTGGAACTGGCGTCGGTTGCAGTGAGTAAATGGAGTGAGCAATTAAAATGAAGTGGCCCTTAACTAATAACTATGCTCTTGGATAAATTGTTAAAGGAAACCCTGTATGGTGACATACTGGGCAGCTTGTGGATCGAGGTAGCATTGCTTTAGGAGGCTGTTTTGAGTTGAGCTAAAGAGACCATATCTGAGTTTAGTTTGGAAATACCTACATTAAGGTTCAATGCTAATTTTTACTGTCTAAATGTAATGACACATCTATATAATGGCCTTTACAATCAACAGCAGAAGTAAATGCTCCTTGGAGGTAACATTTCTGGAGGTGATTTCAGTCTGTGTTAGTTTTCAAACTCTCTGTGCCTTCTTTCCCTGTGCAGGAGGCTAGCACAACAACTGCACGTAATTTAAGTCCCATTTAATTCTTCAGAATAAGCTAGACTTTCAGATTCAGTGGCTAATTTTTCAAAAGGGCTCTGAAACTCTTCAGAAAATCTGATTACCAATTTAATGAAGGGAGCTGCTGAAGGTTCAGCCCTAGTGACTATCTGACCCTCGTTTCAGTGCCTCAGTGCATTCTCTCAAAATGTGGAGCCGAGTGACTCATCATCTTACTCTGTGTCAGCCCTCTTCATCGGGATGAATTTTACTCCAGGTCAAGTGGCTGTATGATGATGGAGGGACACTGTGTGATTGTCACAGATCTGTTTCTGCAGAAAAACAGAAGGAGATTATGGCTTTTTTAAGTAGAACACCTATCAGGATCCCCACCCCCTTTTCAGTTATTTAAGCTCTTAGTAGTTTCAGGTGTCACTCAGGATATTATGATTTTAAATGATGCATGACTTGGAAGTAATTCCTTCTAGGTCCCCCAGCTGTAAACCTGATCCTATGTCTTCATGTGTGTTAACACACTGTTTCAGTTCTATGCCTAATAAGCTCTTTTAGCAAGGTGAAATTTTCTTTGCAGTCACACCTGGGGCTCACTAAAATCACTCATCCCTTTCCATTCAGACTCTTTGCCATGGCAGTGCTCCTGCAAATGAAATTTTAAAAAACAAATGTCATTGAAGGTCACGTTGCAATAAAACTGGTGTGAGTCACAAAACTGATCCTGTAAATGTACGAGAGCGATTAGACGCATTTGTGCTAAGCCATATTGCTAGAAATTCTTTGCCATGTAGATGTTTGGTTCTGACCTATAGATTTGCTGTAGCATCAAAGTAGGCAAGAAAGTGCTCCTTTTCTGTAAGGGCATGTTTGCACCATAGGTCATGCTGTGCAGAGATGCTAGAGCTGCCTTTAAAACTAGCTAGTTTGGATATCTATGTAGGTGACTGTGTGTGCGATTCAGAGCAGGCTACAGAACCCTTTGAAGAACTGGGACAACAGAGTTCCCTCTAAAAATAAGAAATGTGATCTGCAGTCACACACAGATGCAACCAACTGGACAGCAGCAGAGTAGAAATAATCTGCATAAGAACAAGAAGTTGCATGCGAAAACTTCTGAGTCTGAGATCCACATGCATGAAATACAGTCACCTTTCAACTGTACATCTGACTCTGGTACTTTATGGATGGTAGAGATTTACCATACCCTAAAGCTGTATAAGTTGAAAAAGTCATTGAAGCCAGGTGCAGTTTTTCTTCAGAGCTGTACTCACACATCTAAATAGACAGAATGCAGCCAACCTCTGTGGGTCTTTCATTGCAAATCTAGAATCAAGTATATTTAATATTTTGATCTAAGGTTCTGTGTGCCTAAATTTGATAAGCAACATAAGCAAATAGGTAAAACACAAGTAATTGGTCAAAATTAGATGTTTTTACCTACTTTCCTATCTTGAAGTTCTGGAACCCTTTCGTAAGATCATGTTGCCAGTTCAGCCAAAAGTTTGAGATGCCCTTGTGAAATCCTGTGTTTCAGAATCTACTATGTCCCCTACTCTCGTCAGCAACGAATACTCTACACACCCTGTGCAAGGTGATTCTGTAGGATGCCCTCCTTCGTACGAGTCATACTGCCTCCATGGTGGAGTGTGCAATTATGTCTCTGATCTACAAGACTATGCCTGCAAGTAAGTACAAAAATTTGTATTGTCTGTGCTGACGAACGGTACCCTTAGGGCCCAGTCAAGTGCAGGCAGTGAAGTGTTTGTCCATAAATTATCTGTTAATCACTCATGCTGGCAATTATCATTAGACTCTGCTCTTTTCTGTAAGCGATCCCTGTAAGTTTCTGTCAGTGGTCACTCCATTCACACCCATTGCGATTAATAGCAGGATTGGAATTGTTCCCTAAGCACTTGATTCTTTGCTTTGGAAATGTGAGATAAGTTGTTACATGACTTAGTGGTCATGGCTTTATGAAAGAGGTGCTTGCCATCTCTCCTGCACATATCACACCGACCTGTTGGCCTTGCTGTTCATGTGTAGCACTCGCTGTGGTGGAAGAGGACACCCCCGTCTTGTCTTCTCTGCTTGGAACCAGGGAGGAGAAGTCTGGTGTCAGCATCTTCCCTTACAGTTTGAAGAGTCTTGGTCCCTAGCAGAAAGGGCACAACATGATGGTCCTCTTAAAGAGAGTTAGCAATGAGGCCTCCTTCCTCCTGTCGATATTTTTGTGAAGCTTAATTCCCAGTTGCCCAAATGCAGTTACTGATAAAAGCAAAAAGAATCTCATATTTCCAGAAGTCAACCTTGGCCTGGTCAATGTAATGGCCTAGTCACATGGTGTGATCATTTCTTCAAAACCATTAGTGCTGGAGTTTGTGTAAGTTGATTATATTTGAATTTGTGTTACATCTTTCTTCAAAATCAAGCATGAAAGTGTTTACAGTGGGAGAAATCCAATGCCTGCCTCCTGCCCTGGGGTCTCACCTGGTAAGTGAGGACCTGTGCAGGGGATGGATGCTGTTCCGTAGTAGGCAAATCTCCCTCTGTGCCTCAGTAACTCAGGTGGCCCTGGTATAACCCTGGAGTGAGGAGAGCAAGCTTTGTGCTGAAAGGTTTCTTTGACCCACCATTCCCCCAGATCTTCCTTGTAGTGCACTGGGAGAACCTCTGTACCAGGCCATTCCTGCAAGCACTGTCAAATCCTTGGCTTTCTTATTTTTCGATATGGGTGGTCTCCCCTGCCTACAGACCTCTGTAGCCTGCGGGAATATGAAAAGGATGTGTCTCATGTACATACATGGGAATGAAGTGGATGCTTTGTGCTGTGGATTTCCAAAGCTCAGCAAAGCCATTACAAGAGATGGACTCATGGTCATATCTGGTATTTGTTTTAGATTTTTAGTGTAAATTTTAGAGGCATTGCAAACTTTCTTTTTTCACCTCACTGAGTTTCTGTTATTGGAACTGAAGAATCTACAACTGCAGAACTTTGGTGAATGGCGTTAAATCCGGCTGGCGG